TTTGAGGAGAAGCGCTTATCGAGATAACAACGAGTATTTTCTAATATAGCCAACGCAATATTTTCCATAACGATTTCTTAGCAACGTAGCGGGAATACTTCGCAACCAATTATCGATGATAAAGTGTGGTTTTAAAACTAAAATATCGACAAAAAATTCCAAGCACACCGTACAGTATGAAGTACACGCTATACGAACCTCATGACGCTAGCGGCATCTCGTGGTAAAAACCAGAACTACGGCTACGGAATCGTTCTGTAATTAGACGCCAGTCATCTTTTGAACACAATGGAGAAATTGAAAAAGTAATGGAATTTAGCGACGAATGAATTTTTTGAATAAAGTTAAAAATAGATTAATTAATGGTTGGTTTTTATTTTTTGTTCAGCTATTTTTTAGCAAATTTTGAAATAGTTGTTTTTAGAGCGTTTTTTGTTTGCTTTTAGCTACTTTTATTTTTTTGAGTTGGCAACTAAACGATAGGATCGTGAAATCCGAGAGAGGGCGCTGTATTGGAAATGTGGCTTCGAAGACGGAAAATAATGTCTGGTAATTTTTATTTGCGGAATGGCATAAATCATACTGTTCGGGACAAAATAATATGTAAACATTTCAAATATGGCGTGAGCAGGCATAAAAGATATTTTTAGTATCTTTATGTTACTTATCAAATATAGAGTTTACTTCATATTAAGTATTCAAGTTTATTTATTGTAGGAACAGTTTTTAGAATAAAATCCTCCTTTCACTATATGGAACAGTACCAAAAAACTGAGACATTGGCAACTTTATCATGGTCATAAAAAGTGTAACACCTATTCTGATGATAATTGCATACAGGCTGAACATTTATAGACTGATAATGTTTTTTGACATGTTACTGATATATACTTGTGGTAATTAATAGATGGCAATCACTGAGAACAGGGTAATGAAGCTTGTATAGTATTTGTAAAACTCTGAGTATAGTGTACCATTGTAACACGTTTGGAGCACTGATAATGCCAGGGAGATCACTGTCACTATAAAACTCAATCCTTTTGAACAGTTGCATTATTGGTATGCATGAAGCAGGTTAGTTATTGCACTGGATTGTAATGTGTCTGAGTTAAAAATGCCATTATGGGATCATGATGTTTTCAGCAGTGGACCATTGAAGATTTTTCAACCTGTAAAGCTGTTTCAGGACTATAGAAGTTTGCCGTGGAGAGAAGATAGTTTACAGGACTGGCAATATATAATCAGCAACAAATCTCACTTCTGCTTGGTGACAGATAATTGTTGGAAGCATATAGTGGCACAATAGTGAAAGCTTTTAGCGATGGAGCTAAACTCTGTCGAGGCGTTTCGATAGAATAGGTCCAAATTTGATCCCACCTCGTGTGACAGTAGTTCCGATCTCGCCCACGTGTTCCACGTCCTTTGTTCGTCGGACAAGATTAATGAGGAGACTGATTCCTTGGAAATACCATATTTTATTTCCCCGCGACTACGGACTATTTACAAAGGCCTAAGTTGAATAACTGTACAAATGTGCGTTTGTCATCGAAGCTGACTCCGAAAGATTGGCGTAACAAAAACGAAGGTCAGCGTACGAAAGCGTCTCTCCAAATCGGTGTCCGAGGACCAAGTGAGGTCAGAGGGGAAAGGTCAAGTGCTGGCGCCCTCTGCCCTACACACTCCCCCCCTAGCGGTCCAGCGTATCGTATCCAGGAAGTGGACGGCTGGTCGGATGACGCGTCCTGATGACGTTTGTCTTCCTGTTGTCTTGTCGGGTGATGTTGGGTGTTGGCTGGTGGATGGGGTCGACGTGCTTGTAGGGTTCGTTCCAGTAGCGGCATCTTCGTTTAGAAGAAATGCGGGTTTTAATCTGTCTATCGATACCCTTTTAGGAGAGCCCGCGACGTCTATATCGAAAAACTTTTCGAAGCGACGACGTACGCGGTAGGGACCAAGATAGGCTGGACGAAGTGAAGGATGTGCTGCTGGGTTGAGTACAAAGACATGCGAACAGTCTGTTAGCCGTTTCGAGACGAAGGTCGTTCGCTTCCCATGTCGAGATGTTGGGGACGGTCTTAACGTACGAAGGAATTGTTGCAGCTGTCGCATGAACTCCGTCTTCTCCGTCGCCGGGGAATCCACCAGAAGTTCGCCTGGTAGTCGTAAAGGAGCGCCGTACAGCAGCTCAGCTGGGGATGCTCCAATGTCTTCTTTGATGGCCGAGCGTAGGCCTAGGAGGACGAGAGGCAAAGCTGCGGTCCATGGGGTCGCCTGTTGCAGGTGTGCTGAAAGGGCTGCTTTTAGAGTGCGATGTTGTCTCTCGATTAACCCGTTAGCTTGGGGGTGGTAGGCCGTAGTATGACTGATTTGAAAGCCTAAGTAGTTGCTTAGCGATCTGAACAACTGGCTTTCAAATTGTCTACCCTGGTCTGTTGTGATTTTTGTAGGAACGCCGAAGCGTGCAAACCATGTGTCGATTAGTGCCTTGGCAACTGTGTCCACTGTCTGGTCTGGTAAAGGCGTTGCTTCCACCCACCTCGAAAATCGGTCGACAGCGGTACGAAGGTACCTCGATCCTTCTGAGAGTGGTAGCGGGCCGACTATGTCGACGTATATGTGTTCGAATCGTGAATTCGGGACGAGGAACTTCGCCAGTGGTGCACGTGTATGTCGGTGGATTTTCGCCTTTTGGCAGGCCATGCAAGATCGTGCCCATGTCTGGCAGTCTTTGTTCATGTTTGGCCAGATGTACCTCTGAGTGACCAGTTTGACTGTCGTATGGGCTCCTGGGTGTGATAAGTTGTGGGTGGCCGAAAATACTTCTCGTCGGAAAGAGGGAGGTATGTAAGGTCTACAGTGACCGGTAGAGATGTCGCAGAACAGGGATTTTGTTGAACTTGGGAGGTGCATAGTTACTATTTTGAAATTTGGGTTTTGTTGCAATTCTGATAGTTCATCATCCTGTTGTGCATCTGTGATGGCGTCATAGTTAATGGATGGTGCGCCAATGGTGTTTATGCGGGACAGGGAGTCTGCAACAACGTTGTCCCTGCCGGATATATGCTGTAAGTCGGTTGAAAACTGCGATATATAGTCCAATTGGCGGAGTTGACGAGGCGACGCTTTGGCCAAATCTTGGAGGAAGGCGAACGTAAGGGGTTTGTGATCAGTATAGATAACGAATGGCCTCCCCTCCACTATGTGCCGAAAATGCTTGATGGCGGAGTAGATGGCTAGTAGTTCTCGGTCGTATGCACTGTACTTTATTTGAGACTTGGTGAGGGTCCTGGAGAAGAAACTAAGGGGTTGTTTAACGCCGTCGAGCTCTTGATGTAAGACGGCTCCAATGCTAACGTCTGAAGCGTCTGTGGTTAAGGAAAGTTTGGCATCCAGTGCTGGGTGGATGAGGAGAGCGGCTCTGCTTAAGGCGTCCTTTATGTTGTTGAAGGCGCTATTTGCTTCTTCCGACCAGATGAGGGGTTTGGTGCTGTTTTTGGTATGGCCACTTAACATGGCGTTGAGAGGGACCTGCAATGTGGCACATCCTGGGATGAACCTATAATAAAAGTTTATCATTCCGAGGAACCGTCGTAGTCTGTAGCTGTCTCTGGTCGCGGGAAATTTTGGATGCATTCCACTTTCGCTTGGAGCGGCCGTAGGCCTTCTGGCGTTATCCTGTAGCCCAGAAATTCTATAGACGTGGCGCCAAAAGTGCACTTAGCGGGGTTAATACATAACCCATACTCGTTTAACCTGCTGAAGAGGGTGCGAAGGTGTCGTTGATGCATTTCTTGGTCCGGAGAAGCAACAAGAATGTCATCCAGGTAACAGAAAACGAAGTCGAGGCCAGTGAGCACCATATTCATAAACCGCTGAAAGGTTTGGGCTGCGTTTCGTAGTCCAAAAGTCATAAAAGGAAATTCGAACAGGCCAAATGGAGTAGTGATAGCGGTTTTAGGAATGTCGGGTTCATGCACGGGTATCTGCTGGTAAGTGCATACCAAGTCTATCGATGAAAAGATCTTCATATTATGTAGGATGTGGTTGCAGTCAGTGAGGAATGGAATTGGGTATCTATCCGGAATGGTGATGCTGTTGAGCGCTCTGTAGTCCCCATACGGTTTCCAATCTCCCGACCTTTTCTGTGTCAGGTGTAGCGGACTGGCCCAGCTGCTTTTTGAAGGCCGGCATAGGCCCTGTTGGAGCATAAATTCGAACTCCTTACGGGCTGCCTTTAGTTTCTCTGCCGAAAGTCTCTGTGGTCTGGCGAACACAGGTGGGCCCTTGGTTTCGATGAAGTGTACGATGTTGTGTTCCTTGATCTTGGTGTTGGTAATTGATGGCCGCACTAAGTCTGGATACTCGGCAAGGATTTTTTGGTAAATAGAGACGTCTTCCAGTATTTGGATTCGGGATGTGTCATAGGGAAGGAATTTGGCATTCGTGTGAAGGTTCGTAACCCCGTCAATGAGCCGATGGCAGCTGCTGTCGACTAGCAGGTTGAAGTGAGATAAAAAATCCGCACCAATGATTGGCCGCTGGACGTCGGCTATGACGAATATCCACAGAAAATTTCTTCGCAATCCCAGATCTAGGTTAAGTAATTTTCGGCCATAAGTCTTGATCATTGACCCGTTGGCTGCGAAAAGCTCGAGCTTGTTGCAGTTGCACCTTTCGTGGGGTGCTGGGGGTATAACAGAAATGTCCGCTCCCGTGTCCACGAGATACAGGGTTGCTGTGTCCTTGTCACTTATATAAAGGCGACTCAGCTCAATCCCCGTTGTCCCTGTCGCCAAAGAGAGTCGGGGGATCAGTTTTCCGCTTCCTCAACGGCTACCTTTTGATCTTGGAAGTTGCACGGTTGGCGGCATTTGTAGGCATTTCTCCCGAATGTGGCGTGGTAGTAGCAGATATTGCTGTTAGGGGCTTGTTGACTGCGTGATCTCTCTCTTGATCTGGGTCGGATGTTTCTTTGTCTCACGCGTGGGTATATCCGCTCATTAAGTGTGGCTACCTGCAGCGACAATTCCGATATTTGCTTTTGCAGAATGTCCAAGGCAGGGAGTGGCTCCCTACAGTGTGCGCTCCCCGATGCTACGGGAGCAAGCTGTGCTGTCGTTGGTCCAGGGCTGAGTTCCCAGATCTGGTCGGCCATAGCAGCTAATTTTGATAGTTGATTGCTACTAACCGATAGGATGCTCCGCATGTTGATTGGTAGGCGTTGGAGCCACAGTGTCTTCAAAAAATTCTCGCCGATTTTTTCGTCAGCCAGGTTATGCATTTCGCAGAGTAATTGTGAGGGTTTGCGGTCGGCGAGTTCCATTTCCGTCAGTAATTTTTTGGTGCGCTGGGTCTCACTGTCTGCGAAAGCGGAGATCAACCGTTCCTTGATAAGTTCATATTTCCCCGACGCAGGCGGACTGAGTAAAATGTCCGAAACTTGCGTGAGGATTTCTGCGTCAACGTAACTGACGACGGTATCGAATTTTGTTTGATCCGACGATATTCCGGCGTTTTGAAATTGGGCCTTGATCTGAAGGAACCAAATGCGGGGGTCTGGCTTCCAAAATGGCGGCACCTTGACTGCGACACGTGCTAGGCACATGTCGGTCCTTTGTTCGGGGTTAGGCTTAGCGGTTCTCTCGTCCATTTTCGTCTTTGAGTATCCTTTATTTGAATCACGTTTCGGGTCACCAGTTTAGCGATGGAGCTAAACTCCGTCGAGGTGTTTCGATAGAATAGGTCCAAATTTGATCCCACCTCGTGTGATAGTAGTTCCGATCTCGCCCACGTGTTCCACGTCCTTTGTTCGTTGGACAAGATTAATGAGGAGACTGATTCCTTGGAAATACCATATTTTATTTCCCCGCGACTACGGACTATTTACAAAGGCCTAAGTTGAATAACTGTACAAATATGCATTCGTCGTCGAAGCTGACTCCGAAAGATTGGCGTGACAAAAGCGAAGGTCAGCGTACGAAAGCGTCTCTCCAAATCGGTGTCCGAGGACCAAGTGAGGTCAGAGGGGAAAGGTCAAGCGGTGGCACCCTCTGCCCTAAAAGCTTTTGGGCCAACTTTGCAGAATGCTAACAAGTCCAATGTCCAGAGAAATGGTGTGGAATGTCATTTTATATGACATTCAAGGTCCCTTGACAGGTCAATGTTATTTTGTAACTAGTACTTCTGCCTGTCTTGCAAAGTATAGCAAACTCCATATATCAACAGGATGATGCCAAAACAAACATTCTTTCAGCAAACCAGATTGTCTACTCTTTTTTCAAAGAATGTTAATGCCTTAAAATTACCTTAGTTACTTTATAATTAGCTTTTTAAAATTGTTGAATAGATAGAAAATGGATAATTGATAATTTTGAAGTGATAGGATGATTATAAATTACATAAATTACAGTATGATTTATATTAGGTTTGATTCTGAAAGGACTAGAAAAGATTAAAATTTTCTTGTTTTAATTAGAAATTATCAAAATTTCAGTTATTTAAATTCAATGTAATTATCTGTAATCTGTGCTTTATTATGTTTCATGCTTTTCCACATGTTTGAAAGTAATATTGGTTTAAATTTTCTGCTTTCTTTTCTGTATAAGATTACTTTCTGCCATGGAAATTGTGATATATGTTGATGTTTTTACAGTATTTTTATTTTAAATTAACAAAGCTGATTGCTTTGGCATTAAGAGGGTGCTGTGGCACCATAAGTATCCCTGGATACATCCCTGAAATCAGATTATCTGAGATTTTTAATTAGTTTTTAAGAAAATTTTTATCTATATTTTATATATCTGTAGGTAGATTTAATTATTTTTAATTTTCTTTGACTTGATTAAGTTTTCTATAAACAGACTTGTAGACAGTAATTTATAAAACAATGTGTAATTAAAATTTTTTTTTTAACTTCAGAAATGTTATCAATTTTCATCAATCATTTTTAGATTTTCTCATAATTAGTGAAAGTAACAACAAATGTTATTTTTACTGTATGTAGCATAAATCTTACTTCCTAATATTAGAGTATTTAACAAAAATGAAAAGGAAAAGGGTATTTAAAATACACAACAGCATTAAAAAGATTTCAGTAAAGTTTAACTAATTTTATTAGATTTTGTTTAAAAATATCATGACTTAGGTTTGAAAGACTGCTTTGATTTTCTTTTGTGTAACTCTTCTGTTTTTTTATTTTTTAATACAAACAGTCCTCAAGTTACACAAATGGATTTTCCATTAACCCACTAGGCAAGTCAAATTTTAAAAACATCAGTTCTCCTGCTCGTAGTGTAGTCTAGTCTAGCCTATCTTAGAGTACCCTTACGAAGCTTATGTCTTTGTTGTAAACACAAATATAACAAAATTATATAAATTATACTTTAAGTGTATATTACCTTAAATTATACGTTAAAAAAATAAAATAAATAAATAAAAAGGAAAGAATGCATACCAGCATTAAATGTAGAGGGAGTAGTAACCTTATGTATGCTGCTCAGAGAGTTCCATCCTTTTATCTTCTTTCCCTTTCCTCAACTTTCTTGTCCCCTTCCTCCTCTCCCTTCTTCCTCTTGTTAAACACTGTTTGTACGGTCATGGTCTTTAAGTAAGTAATGTACAGTACTTAACAATAGCTTACTATAACCTCTTTATTAATACATGTTCATGGCTCAAGACATACAGGAACTAGGAAGATTCAGCAGCCTATCTTGTCTAGCTGCACAAACATGCACATAACATGCTTTGCTTGTTTTATCTAAGTGCTATCCATAAATTGTGTGTTTTCCTGAGATTTTTATGCAAGTAGAGGTCTGTCTGTGTATAAATAGTAGTTAATCACATTTTGGTATTCCTAGTAATATTTCTGCCTGTTTTTTTTTATGACTTGGTGAAATCTTTGCTTGTTGCATTTAGATTATCAGGAAAATGTTCTAAATGGAAACAGAAGAAATGAACTTTTTGACTCATCTTGTATCCTAGCCTTAAGTTTTGCATATTTTACATTATTATTGAAATCTGGATTTTTTTTTTTTGTTGTTGTTTTAAAGAAAATTAGATATATTCTGAAGCTTTTCATGCTTTTTTTTCAACATTTTTCATTGTATTTTCAAACCATTTATCTAGTAGTAATTTTCTTATCTGAAGTCTCAAGAAATATATTTTCTGTAAATGTAGTCTGATCGAAAAACAAGATACATGTGAAATTTATATAGAACTTATTCCTGATTTGTTTTTGATTAAACAAAAATCAAAAGTCGAGAAAAAAAATAACAAAAACTCTTTACTAAAATTCATTTTTTTTTTTTTTTTTT